TCATAGACTATCATAGTGTTACTCTTGACCTGAAGAGACGTTTTGTTCTTTCGTTGTTAGGTTTAAAACTGGTGTGACTCTTCGCTTTCCACGGCTGGAAGCTGTTCGCAGTGACAAGATGTGGTACGAGTGTTTGAACCTAAACGAACTGACCAGGCTGAAATCGGTGAGAGAAAATACACTATGTGTCCGTAGTTTCCGTTAAGAGAGTTTGAACTTAATTGCGTTTCTCAGAGTTAGAGCGAGCTCGAGCGCATTAAGTTTGACTGTCGCGAAAAGAAAACCAACTTAATGACAAAAGTCAACTAGAACGAAGGAAACTACCTACAGGTAAGTGAAGAAAGAACAAGCAGACTTTCATGAGCGCGGGAAAACGCGGGTAACCAAATCGCGCTTGGCGTTGGTTTTGCATGGTGGGTTGAGATAAAGGCGCGAGTTTTCTACATCAATCACAAAGCATGTCGAAGCAAAGCCAGTGCAATCCCGGATTAGCTCCTCTATCCCTATTGGTTACTTTTCTTGATAGGTGGCAGAGGGAAAGCTCACATACCAACATGTAAATGCAGAGGAGAAATCTGAACCAGCCAAGAAAAGAAGGCGAGAGGCTGTACGAGTTGAACAGTCACGGACTGTGGCCAAGCATTTTAAACCGGCGGATGTGTCTTCAGTTGAGGAGGTGAGTAAGTTTGATAAATCTCCATGTTCTAATTACACTGTGATCCGCTAATCGATCATGAAACTTGTGTTCCAGGTTTCGCAAATGTTCCAGGAAAAGGAATTTTATATTGTTAACGGTCCTTCCTCGCATCCCAAGGCTGTTTTAGAAAAAAAAGTTGCCGAGGTATTTTTTTTCTTTGTATTATCATGAAACAGTTTCATTTTAAAATATCTGACATTTATACTCTGGACGCATGTGTTTTTATCGTTACGTTATCCTACAACCTTGATACAAGGCCTGATAAAATTATATGCTTGTATGAATTTACACAGTGCAGATTTATGTTTTCACCGATTTCTGTCGACTTACATATTGTTAAATAATTTTTTCACAGAATGGAGGCACGTTGACTCAGAACCCTTGTTCTGACACTTTATGTGTTGTGGCTGAGAGAATCAACGTTAGAGTTAAGAATATTATCAGGTAAGGATTTACATAATAGATAAAAACATTTGCGATATCTACAGTAGATTTTCCATGTCAAAAGGAGATACATAAGATACATCCATCCACACTGTAGCTCTCATTGTTCTAAATTACGTAGAAATGCTCGTTTGCTTTGTTTCCTCTCCATTAGTCAGGACAAATACGATGTGGTGAAGGCATCTTGGCTTATTAACTGCTTGGTAAGTCAATAACACCTCAGGTTTGTAGACTGTATGAATAAAACCAGTCTTAAGTATGGATCAAAAATAAATTTTAAAAGGGTTTATACCCCCGTTAGCTCGTTGTAGTTCATTGCTACTGATAAAAATATCGACCTGTCTTGAAGCGTAAGGTTCGACTTTTATAGTAGGGCTTGGTCGGCTTTCTCTGAAAAAGAGAAAGCTCACTAACGAGAAGTACTTGCATAGATATTAGGGTTTTTCCCAGTTGCTTAACGCGAAGCGAGAAAAAATATTCCTCGTTCTACGGGATGGAATGTTAGTTTACAGCAGGTGTACCCTCATCGTTTCGTCATGCTTCCTTGACGCATTTATATGCACATGTATTGCCCTTTCTGGGGAGGTGTAATGCGTGGGTAAAGTGCCTCGCCTCAGAACACAACACATTGAGGTAGTCAGGTTTCGAGCCCAGACCTCTCGATGCTGACTCACTCTTGATGCGTGTTAAATCTGACTAAACCGTGCCCCATTGTGTCCTACCACCTTTGCGGTGCACCCAGTTTTGTGTGGTATTTATTGCAGTTTTTTATTTATCATGATTATTATTTTTGTGACCCCAAAAGGATAGTGGCGAGCTGAAGCCGTGGATTCCAAGTGATATGTTTCATTCCTCGTCCCGAACTGCTGATAAATTTGCCGAGGAGTTTGATCGACATGGAGACAGTTACACAGAATTTGCTACAGCCGAGTCACTCAGGAAAGCGTTTGATAATGTCCAAAGCAAGGTGAGGAGAGATTTCTTTAGCAATACTGGCACAAAATAAAGCTAAATATTCCATTATGTTAGCGAGGAGAGCTTTATCCAAAATGAAAAAAATATGATTGTACAGACGGAAAGCAAAAGATCGTCAAATCGTTGTTGAAACCTTTGGAAAAGACCGTCCAATCAGAGAATAGCACGAGTGTTCACGGGTTCCGAACATCTCGTATCATGCTGCTTAGACACTTAAAAGAGGAACAACACTCGCTCCCAGGGTCCCTCTTTCCATTCTCCCGTTAGTACAGGGACGTTATTAACGAGGTACGGGATGTGGCATCCACTTGCCTTTTGAAATTAATTTGAATTTTTTTTACTTTCGTGTTTCTGTTTTGCTTCATAGAACTCAGCAGTTCCACTTTCAACTGATGAAATACTTGAAATATCTCAACGTTATTTTCCCGATAACTCGCCTTTTGGATTGTTCAAACATTGCAGGTAAATCTGATAGGTGCAGTTGATCCGTTGAAAAAACACGTTTAGACATCAAATTTATTTGAGTGTTATCGTTTTTAAGCTTTGCATCAAGCTGGAATTCCTAATGGTTGTGTCTACACACCTTAAAAACACCGGCGAACTATACTTGTCTGAAGTAATGATTGGGTTAAATGTCTTGATCTTAACTTCGTTTTCAAGAGGATTAAATTTTGTTCTTTCTAGAGTGTACCTTGATCAGTTCATTATTATTGGGAATAAATCAACGGTGAGTGAGTGTAAGCTTTAAGCTCAAAATGTCCTTATACAGCAGTATCCCTTCATTGAAGTTTACAGATGCAAAGGTTGTGAAGGCTTTGTTGTTAGTCGATTAAAAAAGCTTAATGGAAGTACTTTCCGGATAGAGGTGTCTAAAAAGATAGCATATTCTTTTGTTATTGTTTTGGAACCAGTCTAAGACGAGGCGAAACCTCAGCCACCTGCATACTTCATTAATATGCCCCAACAGCCGAGTAAAATTGAATTAGCTAGTCTTCATTGACTGTTCCTTTTCTTCAGCGCTTATTTTGACTTGGCAACCTCCAAAACCGCACCCGCGTTTTTAGGTCGTAGGAAGCAGCTAAACAAGCCTCTTCAAACGTTCCCTTGTGATCATTTTCTTTTCAGGGAATTCCTAATAGCAGTTTGGAGCTTATTGGTTTGAAACTACGCATGTTCGGGGCACGGATCACCGACAGTTTTGATAGCAAAGTGACTCATGTCGTCTTCGATGAAAGGTGAATACAACTAAATGCTTTCCACTTTAATTTCCTAGCGAGGTGATTCCGGCTTTTTCATGATTCTATGACTTCTCTTTGCTTAGGGATCTTTGTCGCCTCAAAGAGCTACAAAGAGTAACGCAAGATAGAGAAGTAAAACAACATCTTGTTACGCTAGACTGGGTTACGCAATCAATTCAAGCTGAAAAGCTTCTACCGGAAAGACACTTCAGACCAGTTACGTAACGTGACTGTAACACTGAATCCAAGTTTCCAGCGTTTAGTTGTCTGGGGCAGTTTGAGTTTCCTTTGCAGCCGTTTCTAGAATTTCTTCCTGATTCTATTACCATTTCCATGGTTATAGCGCAAGACCTTTATTTAAAAAAGTAGGAAATGAGTTTTTTATTGAATGTTACTTATGCCTGTCGTATTACAAACAATGTATGCGAAGTTACAAGAATTAACTCACCAGATATTACAAAAACTTTTAAGGGCCTTGAATGATTCTTTCTTTCCAAAAGGACGAAAATAAATAGAAAAATAAAGTTTCACGGTGTATATTACATTTATTTTACATTATTAGGAAGTACAATTGTAATATCAAGCACTACTATTTTACTGTAAATAAATATGAATTAAAGAACTATTGAGGCAAACTATCTGACACAGCCTTGAATTGTTTTGGTTAGAGAAAAATGAATCAACACCATGACTCATCCAATCATGCAAATGTCAAACACGAACGAACAAGCTACTTCCATTTAATGTTTTAATTCGATTTAAGAAACTAGAGTTAAAAAGTAGCTTTCATCATTACCTTGTGCATTGTAGATTCTCTTAGTGTGAAAAAGTTACTAATTCGACTAACTTTGTACTGCCAATATAAAAACTACACTGAAAAAGTACTACATTATTCTATGATAAAAACAAAAAATTAAAATGTTTTTCTCTTCATAAAAAAAAAGTCACGCCTAAAGCTTCAGAAATTTTCCTTGTTATAGTAAAACTTTGTTCCTTCAACAACATTGCTGTGTGCATTGGCTGTCTGGTGAAGCTGATGTGAAAGAACAGCAGGACCACAAAAGAAGACTCCGATGTTTGTTCTGTAACAATCAAGAAAGAGATTTAACAAATTGTCATTAAAATTAAACTTTAAAACACCCTTACCCTCCCCAATACTAGGGAAACAACTCTACCCTTCCTGGTTTTCTATCTCCATTGACTACATACCTTGGATGAGCTCGAGCAACGCTACCGAAAATGCCGTTCCATTCTGGTCGCCCATAGCGAGTCTTCTGTTTACATCCAGTGATGATGTCCGTCTCCTCATCCTCGTGTAGAACAATGGTGCGAGCCTAGGGACAGATTCCAAATGACGATTTGAGGATGTAAGAGCAGTCAGGAATTTGTATCTTGCTATACAGCAGCCTGCCTGAACTTTACTTACCATATTTGGACCCCAGCCTCTGGTGAGGTAAATGTTATATTCCAAGAAATCTCTGTTTCCAGTTTCCACCATCTGGAATTGTAGACATAAATTAAATGCTGTACCACAGAGAATGACATCTAAAGCATATTCGATAAAGGAGAGCACCAGAAACGTTTTCAAAGTTTGTTGAAAATTTGACCCTTTTTTGGTAAGATTTCTCGAAATATCCTGTACTGCAAGCACGTTAGGAAAATAATTACTCACATTATTTTCCACGCCAAATTCCAGAAATAAATAGCGTTACATCTTCAACGCTTACCTCACATTGATTCTGGAGTTTGGCTACTAATTTACGACTAATATTTAAATTCAGCAAAGCGTAAACATGGATCTCAGCTTTCATTCTAATTTCCAACTATTACAGTTGCACTGGACGACACTCGTCCCACATTGAATCAGGTGATGTATGGCCCCTATAGCCAAATTTTTTTTTCAATATGACAGGTTAGCATAATATGTTGGGTATGAGGCTCCGCTAGGACATTTTGCACTTCTATCACTTACTCTTTCTTCAAGGTACTGCAAGAGATCTGTAAACCATTCGAATGCGTTCGTGTCGGGACAAATCCAAAAGAAGTAAACTTTTTTAACCACCGGGTTAACATTGTTCTGATTATATTGATACCTGCAGGATAAGCAAAACGAAGTAGGCTTCAGGACAACTTCGGTCAAACACGTGATCATCATTCCACCTCTCCTTACAATTACATCACATTTTCAAGCAAACAGTTGAAGAGAATATTTGAACGTATCAGCTGGATAAAGTAATTAAAATAGAGAAAAATACTTTTCACTAATTAATAAGCAAATGCAGAACTTTACAAGGGCAGGGAGAATTTAGAAAAAATATTTTTCGGCGAAGAGTAAACTACTAAGAACAAGCTTATTTTTCCTTCAAACGAGAGATGGTAGAAAGTAATAGCAACCTGAGATTTCATAAAATTTTGGGCCAATGGGAAAAGACTGTCATATTCTCTGCTTGAAGAATGGTTCGTCAGCTACTTGTAATGATACCTGACTAATTCTAAAAGTCATGTCGACCATTTTCTTTTCAAACCTACCAGATGGACTTCAAGATAGATGCAAACGGTGTTACCCCAATACCAGCTCCGATACACATCACCACGGGATACTTGAAAACGTCCTACACAAAGAAAATAACAACAACAACAACATGGGATAAAACAACAAACAAACAAAACGAGGGAAGTCCAGGAGCCTTCGTGCCCCCAGATCCACGCAAACATATGAAGTAATGGTTTCTCCGTTCGTATTATTAATTGAACTCATGCGTGATATCATATCAACAAAACCATTACGACATATACAAAATCTAATCAGGCTTACCGTAGTAGCTGTTCCAAAGGGCCCATCTACTGCAAGTCTAAAAACACAAAATACAAGTTATCAACTTATTTCTTGAGTGAAAACACCTCGTAGCTGGTGTGACAAGGCGTTTCGCTTCGGGCCAAGAGACTCATCAGACAGCTTTCGGAATTTCCAACCAAACTTGTCGGGCATCCCGCTCAAAGTCCCATTCTTAAACTTCAATTTAAGATCTTAGTAGAAGAATCGTTACATCATATGCCTCGCTGCAAAACTTTTGGAATATGAGAAGAGTTAGATACAAAGAAGTGAACAAGTTCCTAAACCGACGTACCTTGGCATATCAGACAGGCTTCTTGTTTGTTTACCGTCACCACCACAAAGTTTGGCCAGTCCACCTATAAACGAGATGTCAATCATTTAATTGATCAGTAGGTCACTCAGTCACTCAAACAGTCAGACAGTCAGTCATATGAATAAAGGGGGTAAGTTTCTACAGATTCTGAGCTACTGCGTCAGTAAGAGAGTCCAACAGGGTAATTTGGTATTATCGTACGAGTTAAGAACGTAAATTGGCCACCGTAAACAGTTCAAAAGTTAACGTTTCGAGCGTTAGCCCTTCGTCAGAGCGAATGACGAAGTGAAGTCAGCTAGTAGGTCAGTCAGTTAGACACACACTCAGACAGTCAGTTAACGAGTCAGTCAGTAGGCAACTTGATCGGTTGCTACTCCATCAGCGAGTCAGAAGTTAGTCAATTAGCTTGAGAGTAGGTCAAACAATTGGTCAATTATTTCCTCTGTGCGTCAGCCAATCATATAGTCATACGGTAAGCTGGTCAGCCAGTCAGACACCCAGTCAGTTAGTTAGTCAATCATTTACATCAGTACCTTACCTGTCCAGTCCCCAGCGATACGAATATGCACGGAGAAGAAATCATCCTCAGGGGCCTATAGGAGAAAACACAGTTTCATGTACATAAATTCCACGTACAATATGGGTGCCTGCTTCTATATGTGTTATCAGTGTTATTGATCAACAGAACATATCGTAGTAGAGGGTAAATCAATACCAAGCGTAAATATTCCCATTGGGTTCGAACTCTCCAAACAACCCACCCGTAGTAGAACATATTGTTTTGAAAGCAATATCGAAGTGACCAAAAAAAATCATAGTTATATCAAGGGAGTATTTTATCCTAAAAATATCTGCTATTAGTTGGATAGTTTTTACTCACCGATGTCAAAGTGAAAGGATGCCACTCTAAATGAGAGAGTTTGGGACACTTGAGGAAAATGTACTGTAATAAAATAGGAAAAAAGAGAAAGCTCATTTAATCTTTGAACCACTAGCTCTGTGATGATTATGAAGAAGTAAAATTAATGATATTGCGTTGTCTTTTTGCAATAAATTTGTCTTCGGAGAAAGCAACTTGGAAAGTTTGCCAATGAGCACCCCTCCTGACAGAGTAACTTCCGTTTAAAAAGAAATTAGAAAAACGCCTCAAGTAAAAGTAAAACTAATATACCTGTCCAGCAGCATGATGGAAGCCTGCTTTCTTCATCTGGATCTCGATAACTTTCGATGGATGGTTAACAACCTACATGGTAGTTAATATCACTCATTATCAGCTTGCTTAAACCTGATCGAAAGATTCTCAAATTGAAAGTCATTAACTACCTACGGAACACGTGAAAGCAGCTACACTAACCTATCACAAAAAAAAAGATAAACAGCACAATAACGTTGATGTCTAAATTGAAAAGGGGCAATGCGGAACTCCAGTTGGTTTACTTAAAGTGCATTTCATCTCTCCATCTCTTTGCGTATGTGTATTGTCCAGCATTGCATCCCCAATGCAGATTGTCCCGCATTAAAATAAGGTTTTTCGTGCGCATTGAATGAAGACCATCATATGACAACCAAAGTGTCATTTCATAATGGATTGTCATATTTCATTAAGTATGGGGCTCAGCTGGCGCGATTTCGGCGCATGAGTTCTGGAATTGATACCAGTGTAGTACACATACATATCTGTTTCCAGACATTTGTGGAAAATGTCACATAGCATTAAATTGATAGAGCTTACTTTCATAATTTTAACCGTCTGGAATGAGCGATAAAATCTGATTCCACGTTCAACGAGATACAGGAACATTGGTCCAACTACCCATTTCCAGGTCTGAAAGAGGAAATAATTGATAGGATAATAAGAACGATGATAAATTTATTTTGCACCTGTTCGTCGAATGAAGAACGATGTTGACGTATTTATTACAACCGTATTACACAAAACAGTGGATGTCCTCTGCTAAATCGAATCTCAGACTTTCCGAGTTCGCGTTTGGATACTCCGACAGTTACGCTTTAAAGAACTCGTAGATGATAAAAGCCGTCCACAAGATAAGTGACATTCTATTAATGGGATCTTTAAATTCATGATTAACACTTTATATTTCGTCACGCCGAAGAAATTCGATATCGATCAAACTATCAGAATACGACTGGGTGGTCTGACTCGCCACCAATCCCCTGTCTCTCAGTAATAAAGCGTCAAGTAGAGCGGTACTTGTAATCTAACGGTAACGGACTAGATTCTCTTTTATCTTCTATGTCTCTCTCTCTCTCTCTTGTTGGTCAGTATTGCGATATAGGTAGATATTTATGAGAAACAAAAATAACTGCATCTACAAATACTCCTACAATAGTTATTAGAATCACACATCCCAAGGGAGAGATGCCAACTCACATTCATTCCAAAAGGAGCAAATTTGGGAAGCGTTTTGCAGTCTCCCTCCTTTCCCCACGAGGTCACATTTTTGGAGCAGGTTTCAGGGTCATGCTCATCAGTGTTCGACTGAAATCGTACGATACCCCTAGAGAGAACAAATATCTGTTAGCACTCGGAAGGTGAATTCTTGCAAGCGGTGAGCTGATGTCGGCGTTAGAAAACGGTTCAGGATCGAGCCACACCCGTACCCATTGAGAGGTGTAAGAATGTTACTCTAACAGTTTATCTGCCCCTATTAGAAACATGCGAGCAGATATCTGTGACTCACCACTGCAAATCTAACCGATCAGTTAAATAAAAAATTATTCAACGAAAGTGATAATATATTCTTCATTACTACTTGATTTCACTCAGTTCGACTTAAGTTCAGGAAAAACTAGAGGGTATCCAGGCAAGATCCCGGCTGAATCTTTTGCGGGAATGCATTAAGCCCCAAAGAAAATCACGCTGCGGTCAGGGAAGGATCCCGGCGTGACCTCGGCTGCAATCTAGGAAGAAACGCCGTCGATAGACCCCTTGTGATCCAAGCGGGATTAACCTTAAGGGGCAACCTTATGAACATGCACACGACACTGTTCAATATACTTACTGCACACCATGAACGACCAGTCCAATGTAGAAGATCACGAATAGATGATGGTTATACCAAAACACTTCAAAATACGACCGCCTGCAAGGAGGAAACATTTTAACAGATGATAGTTACACCTAGGTACGGTAAAACTACTGATGTCGTGAAAATAAAAGCGCTAAGATGCGATCATAAGTACATTACCTGATAAGTTCCGTGGCAGAAGAGAGCTGTTCGAGAATAAAAACAAAAGAATTATTATACCCGCAAACTTATAAGAGAGTTATTTTAGTGTTTTAATAAATAGCTGCAGGTTTATCAGTTCAACAAATGCTCATTGAAGGTTTTGACCAACTAGAATGCACATATCCTCTTAGCAATGTTATAAACGAGGTTTACTTCTTATTTACATTACTTAAGCTCATATTTGAACATACCATCAAAATAAGACAAAGGGTTATGACAGCTCCAGTAATACCAGCCGCTATAAGTGATACAATAATATGTCAATCAACGATAGAGATGATCAAACGTTATGTATAAATTTTACCACTCAAGAAGCTGGCAAAAGGTTCCATGCTAATGACAACTAGGAGAACAGAAACAATATTTTTCAAAAGCGAGGCCCCATAACAGCGTCGTATTGGAACTTAAAAGCATACCATGAAAAGCACCCTACAATCTTAAACGATAGATTCTGGCGCGGTTCACAATATCAATCCCTCCTCTACGTCACGTTGACGTAGGCGTATATGATACGAATAAAAACGTCAAGTCCTCGGAATCCTCAGATTCGTTTGAAGATCATTCCACAAGCTTCGTGCCTTACCTAATTTCCACAGCTCCACTACTGGTACCTGATCAGAAAAACCAGAAGTCAGTATTACGCTTGGTAACAACACAAATAAAAGTTCTTTGAAACAAGTGGGTTCATTGACTCATTAAGTATTG